GAGAAGAGAGAGAGAGAGAGAGAGAGAGAGAGAGAGAGAGAGAGATTTTTTTTGGCATCAGCTCATTCTTTTGGGTATGTCTCAGGCTTGGAAAGGTAAAACCAAGCTGGCGGGTCTGCTGCAGGGATACACAGATAGAGAATTCTGGGCTGATACAATGTTTAAAATAACAATCTGGCCAAGTTTTATTTTGTTGTTATTTATTAGCTCTTTTGTGCCAAGGACACAAAGAATCTATAAAGATAAATGTCTCTCTTCCTTGTTGCAGCTCAGTTCATTTCTTTTCTCATCCAGGATGTGAGACAGAGAGTTAAACAGCTGCTCACTGTCCCTGCTGCTGCATGGATCACACCTGTATCTACGTGCAATTTGTGCCAGCGCTGGAAAACAGAGGGGATTATTTCTCCAATATCTGAGTTGTGAAAGAAACAAAATACAATATTTAACCAGCGCAAATTGATGCAACACAACAGATAAACATCAGCCATTGATATCAGTGAATACCATCTTATTTACAGAAAAGCCGATCCGTCAGTCAGCAACAATTAGCCAAAAGCAAACCCATTTCTTACACCTGCTTTTTACTGTCCCTATATTTCCTATTTGACTTATATTCCAATTTATTTCCAATTTATTTGAAGTTCATCAACAGGTAGTTCTACAAGGATATGATCCCACACCTGTTCTCACCTACAGACACTTACAATTGCACAGAATCAAACAACTAATTGAGTCCAATCTCTCCCATGGTTTCTTCTGAAGTAGGGCTGTAATATAAAACCTACACCATCATATTGCAATTATTTTTACAGCTATTGCGATATGATCAGTGTGAGAATTCTCATTTTTGCATTACAAATTGAGTTTTCACTGAAAAACTATTAAAATCATGATGATGGAAAAACAACTGGGCCTGTAGTAGCCCTCAGTGGGTGCATGGGCTTTGTCACAGCATTGTCTGTCCAAAACACTCAACATTATTCAAAAACAATAAGCCTGAATTTCATTTTGTACTTTATTATACAAGTACGTGGCAACATGTTTCACAGCCATACTGTCGTTGTTATGACACCTTCCCTAACATTAATGGTGCTTTAGTACAGTAGAAGAAATCCCCACTGCTCTCAGTCTGCTGACAGGTCAGTAATACGTTCCTGAAACAGTCAGTATTAAGACAACATGTGGACAGTTGCCGGGGGAAAAGTTACACCGGTGTTGTGCCGAAGTCTGTTTCCCCGTTGAGATGCGTTTCACCTTACCTTCCCCCTTACCTTCCCCCTTACCTTCCCCTCACCCCAGCTTTTTTCCTGACCCTCAACACATCTCGACGGGGGAACAGACTTCGACACAACACCGGGAAGCGATTAAACCGGTTACTGAGTGCAGTTACTACTGGTACGCAGGATAATTCGTACATTGTTGGCCTCCGCAAATAAATGTAAAATACACCGGCTAATTCAGGTCTATTAGCATGCCGGGTAGCTAACGACAACACAGACTTTTGAAATAAAGGAAAAACATGCAAGGTGGTGGAAATAAACTCACCCAAAATGGATCGGAACTGTCCAGACTGCAGAACTTGTCGAATCCCATTCGCCGCAACGCAATGAAAGTTCAAGTCCTGAGTGTTTTTGGAGATTAGTTTTGGTTTTATAACCGGACTGTAACGGCAAAGCGGAAGGTTGCGGCTTCTGCTTCTTCTGTGAGCTTTAGCTGCAGCTGGCGTCCTAGCTGTTGCATTACTGCCATCATGTGGACGGTCTCTTATGGCTTTTTAAAAACTTTTAGTGAATAAATATTTTAAGGCCTTACAATATATATCATGTCTCATATGTGTTATTTACTAGTCCAGTTTTCAGAATAAAATAGAGATGGCAAAATTATCCATAAAGACAAAAAATAAGATACAACAAAAACACATTAAACACACACAAAATACACGAAACACAAAACAAAAATACATTAAACATATAAACAAACATAACACAAGAAGAAAAATACATTAAACACAAAACTTGAAGAAACATACAATACAATACAGAATATTGTTATAATTATTACTATATTTATTATATTATTACTTATATATTTAGTCCAGGTTTTCAGTGTAAAACGACAAAAGACGAAAAAAGAAAATGTTGCTAAAATAACAATATTATATTGTTCATTGGTGGCTAAATTGAAATTGGTGAATCTTAATAACATATGTTATTTAAGTAATGTTTTTCTTTTCTAAATATTATTCAAGATGTTTTAAGAGCTGAAAATCAGCCAAAATACTGCCACATGTACACACTGACTAAACAAATGGTTTTCTTTTAACTTTATTATTCCCCAATGGGGAAATTCTTCACTCAAGTGTTACACACATAGGCCCAAAACACAATCATGCACGTACAAGGCTTATAGATGCTGAAATGTAACAGTACCCTGGGAGAGGTTAAGGTCTGGTGCCTTGCTCTAGGATACCTCAGCAGTGCCCAAGTACCAGTCCACACTCCACACTGTAGTCCATGCTGAACTTGAACCAGCAACCCTTCTGTTTCCAAGCCAAGTCCCTATGGACTGAGCTAATGCTGACATGTTCTAGTTGTTCCACAATATCGTTACAGAAAGAGCACTTCCTCTATATTTGGAATATATTGGCAAATATTTATTATATATATTTATTTATTGGATAATATCTGTGTATTCTTTTAAATTTTGTAAGGCAACGCATATTTGTAGGGCAGAGTAGATATACAATTCCATGTTCTATCCTGGGCTGTTAATTTAACAGACATTATTTGTATTTAATAATGATTTGTTTCTCCTAAAATGTCTGATTTAGTAAGCTGACCAAACGTCTCCTGCTTTGTCCTCTTCCACCACTACTAATACTGGATATTCTCCTAAATCCTGCTTCTGTTAGCTATAATCTCATCATTTGCAACATGCCCTTTCTCTCTGATATTATGTCCTATAGTTTCTGGTACCTGACAATATTTATCGGGATGCTTCCTGATAAGGCGAAGGGTGCCGCTCAGATTACTTTGTACCATAGTAGGGGTGCATCTAAAGACATATTCATGGGGTGCCCAGAAGGTAGCATTGAGACTTTAAGGTGTGGCAGAAATATATTCTGATTTAATCACAAACAATCACATATAATGATTATATATTAGCTTGGAAAAGCCCCCAAATGAAGATATTAGATATTTATTTCACAATTTTTTAACACATTATTTTGTAAATAATCTAAATTAGTTCATTCACACTAAGCAGGGGTGGCATCTGGAGTGGCAAGGCATTTTTAAGTGGTGGGAGCTGCCACCAACTGTGGCTCAGAGGCAGAGCAATCATTCCCCAATCTGGAGGTTGTTGGTTCGATCCCCGGCTCCTCTGCCACCGCGTCGAAGTTCCTTGGCAAGATACTGAACTGATGCATAACATTGGTGTGTGAATGAGTTAGTTTTCCTGTTTTGAATGGCTTTGCCAATCAACTGAGTGAAGTGTTGTGGGAAAGGGTGAATGTGACATTGTAGTGAAGCGCTTGAGGTGGTCGGAAGACTGAATGACGCTATCAAGTACAGGTCCATTTACCATTTACCATTTACCTCATGCCACCCGCCCATCTAGGGAGCTGTGGGCTTGGGTTCAAATCCAACTTGTGGCCCTTTACTGTATGTCATCCCCTCTCTCCCACTCTATACTGTTGATCTTCAGCTGTACTATCAAATAAAGGCAAAATGCCCCCAAAAGAGAAATTTGAAGCTCATTCACATATGTCACCTCTGTGACTGGGAACTGCAACAAAAGCAGAAGCTTCCTTACTGTGGAAGGCTATGTCCTCTTCTTCTTCTTTGGTGTTTAACATTAACGTTACAAATTAACATTAACTTCTTTATTAGAGTGTGTAACATCGTGACTTCATGTTACTGTACCTCAGTCTCCAATAACAACCCATTTAAATGTAACATTTAGGATGATCTTTTGTCAAAAATGGAATATAATATACATAATGTTGGTATGTTTTCATTAATGTATAATCACCTGAAAAGTTGTGTTATGTTTTTCGTTACCTTAGAATTACCTGTTTTTATCTATAGAGGGAGCAAGTTCTTTTCTACTGCTATGTTAAAACGTCATGTTTCTACAGCAGCCCAGAACGTACAAACCAAACACTGGCTGTAGATGGGGCTTTTAGACTTTTCTGCAGTAGTTTCTTCTGCATACTTGGAAGGCTGAGCTCATAGTCACAGGAAGTAGGGTTGCTTCAAGGGGCTGCACCCCTACCTTCAAGTGCATGAAGTATAGTACAATATTTCCATGCTTAGTTTTATTCTATTTAATTTTTTCTCACGTTACCAGCACCATATCTGGTCCCTGCCACCAATGATAAATATATATATATTCCCTTTAAAAATATATTAGCTATGCCTGTTCATTAAGACAATTGCTAACATTTTCTTTTTGTAATATTTTGGCTCATTAAGACCATCATTAATGTACCGGTCTTTATTTTCTTTTGTCGCAATGCTGTTGCACTGTTAATATCATTAAGCCTGTATTGTTTCTTTAAGACAGTCATTAAAGTACGGGTCTTAATAATATTCTTGTTGTCATACTTTTTGTCTGACATCACCTCAGGATGCTGTGATTTACATGTTGCATGGAATAGTGTTGGTTAGCTGAACTGTATTCAAATGGTTGCAACTCCACCACTAGATACCACTAAATCACACTCTTCCTAACTGTTGTCAGGAAAATCAAGAGTTGTTTCTTAGAACACAGTTTTAAAACAACATATTTACAGTACATATTTAAGTCCAAGTGAAGTCATAATTGGTGTTAAAATCAAAGTGGATCAATGGTTTTTGAGTCAGTTCTGCAAATGACTCACTTACTTGAGTCCTCACCTCTGTCTATCACTACACTGTTGAAAACGGCCTGTTTACTGACAGGATCCATTCTTTCACTGCATACAGCACTTCAGACACTTTCAATCTAGTGAACACTTTAAAATCAACAAATCAATCAGTGGAAATGTCCCCTCTTTTTTATTTAACATATCCCAAATATGACTTCAAATATTTCGTACAACGTAGACCTGTCAGTTAACAACAGTACACAAATATATTAAGTTATTCAACACAACAATTTCTATTCAGTCATTGGTGAGGAAATGTTTAATGTTCTCAAGGAAAAGACAAAAATAACAATGAAAATCAGAAGTGAAGGTGAAACCTATTAGTTTGGCCACATGGTGGCAACATATGGTTGGGTTCAGTTGTCATCATCATCATCGAAGACATCAGCTACAGTCCTGTGGATGGAGAAACATGCAGAGGTTACATACTGTAGTCCATAAATGTTTGAGCAAGGTTTTAGCTCAGTGTGGATATGACTTACTTGTAGATTGATCCAGTCACTTCATCAAGAAAACCCCCTGAGGAAAAAAGACAAAGGAAACATGACAGCGAACAGCAAGTCCATAATTTCTCATCAGAACTACAATTGTTGCCTTGCAGTCTCATATGACTTTCTACTGTCTAAATGTAAGAACAGATCAAATAATTCTAACTGCCTCTTCCATTTTTTTAAATTTAATTTAATTAAAATTAAAAAAACATTCAGTTGTGATTAATTTACACATAGCCAGATTTAATCTACTCTACTAGTTCCCAATCTTTCTCCTTAAGGTACCCCTTTTCTATCATTGAGTAAACTGACATATTTTATGGATATTTATATTCATTGCATAACAATAAGCAGTACACAACAACTGATAAACTGTACAATGAACCCAAACAGTGAACACAATAACTGCAAAATGTTTGTGTAAAATGAGCAATTTGGATGAATTTGAACAAATAAGAGTTTTCCTGATATTTTAACTTCATACAATTCTCTGTCTGTATTGAGTTTTTATTGTATTTTTAACAATCATACATACTTAATAGGCCTCTTTTTTGATACATTGGGAGTTTTCCTCTCCCTGACCCCTTAAAGCGACCGCAGTGGTAGATTCTGCTCTATTTGAAAAAGTGCCTGAATAAACTCCTGTATGAATTGCCCCGCTCAACACAAATAAAAAATTAATTGATATGATTAATGATTGCAAACCGGCAACTCGTCGCTTCACACCCCCCTTCAAACAAAGGAGACTACAGTGGCTGTGAAACAAAAAAAGGGGAATGCCCCTAACTACAATCAGAGTTTGGTTTGTCCCTTCTGGGCTACTGTAGAAACATGGCAGACTCAGTAGAAGAGGACCTGCTCCTCCTGTAGAGGCCCAATCGAAGGTAACAAAAACACAACAATTCTCATCATCAGGTAAAATGTTAAACACTGGACCTTTAAAATCAAGACTGCCTTGTGATCCCCCTTAATGTTTTGGAAACTCCTATAGAGGTCGGCACCCCCAGGTTGGGAACCAGTGGTCTACTCTGCTGCATGGGAAAGAAAATTCTCAACTTAAATATTTTGGGGGCTTTTATTGCCTTTATTATATGATAGTGACAGCTGAAGACAGACAGGAAAGGGGGGCAGAGAGAGAGGGGATGACACGCAGCAAAGGGCCGCAGGTCAGATTCGAACATTGGGCCGCTGCAGCAAGGACTCAGCCTTGGTACGTGTGACGCCAGCTCTACCAACTGAGCTAACCGGGTACCCAAAATTCTTCACTTTCTGAACAAGCATTCGTATTATTCTCTGTGGGAGGTCCTGTTGGGTCTTGTTAAGTTCTTCAGCCGTCAGTGTGAGGAGATCCTGTTTTCTTTAGAACTATGGATCAAGTCTCAAGTTCGAAAGTGTTATATAATAGGAGTGACCAGTTAAAATGAGCAACAAGAAAACTTTTCTTATCTATAAGATACTATAAAAAAAAAAAAAAAATTTCTTGCTGTGGCAGCTCTGCAGTTACTCACCAGGCTGGCAAAGGGTTTGGCACACAGGACACACATGGCAGAAACTGCACATCTGTGAAAGAGGCAGAAAAATAGAGTCAGAAATATAAACCGTTCCAGAGTGTCACAGGATGTCGAATCCATTTGTCTGACCCTTGAACTGCCTGTTCCAAGCTGCTTCCTTTACAAAGTGAGACTAAACTGCTGCACTTCAGTAACAAAAACATCTGCATGTGTGTGCTCATATGTTAGATGTATAAAAGCCGATTTGTTTGTTTTTCTGTCAAAAATAAATCAAATGTTTAGAATGACATACATAAAAATACTCATGGTAAGTCAAAACTATGTCAACACTTGACTCACTAAGTCAAATAAATAAATAAATAATAAGAGTTCTAAATCTCAGTAAACAGTTATCTGAAGAGTTTATGGTCTCAATGTCTAGGTTTCAGTCTAGTTTCAGTCTTCCTCCATACAGCATTTGTAAATTTAGCATTAAGTAAATTGTGTTCCCATTTAGTGTAAAACAGACCATAAAGCAGGCTTTAGCTACCTTGTGACTGAGAAGTCAGTCTCAGTGACTACTTCCAGCTCAACACACCAAACTCAGATCAAACTGTCAACTAGGCAGTGCTGATCAAATAGGAAGCAAGATTCTGTTACTGTGTTGACTATTTCTCTCCTCAAATCTTTTCAGAAGATTTTTTTAGTGTACTGTTTCTATCTACAATATGAGAACATGTTTTTTCAATTATCAGTATCGTTATGTTTTTTATCCAATTGCAGATTAAATTAAACCTGCAAGCAGCGTTGGGCGGGACCTCGCACTCCACGCAACTCGGGGGTGCTGCAGCCGCATCACGTGCAGGCATAACACGTGCGGACCAAAACTAAAATTAAATCAGATCAAAGTCGCTATGCAGCGCTTACTTCCTGTTGCCAGTAGGTGGCGCTATCACTATATCTGAATATTGTCATGTAGACGTGTTCATGCAGCGCGTGGAACTGTGTATCAAACACGACTGTGAACAGTTTCCATTTGAGCATTGGACCCATGTACACTGAAGTTGTGAGGACAGTGTTCGGCGGGTGGGGACTGTACACCTGAAGAGTAGAACTATCTGTTTTCACCGCACCGGCCCGAATTCGAACACGTCGTCAGTGGCACGCCGGTTAAATGTACAGCCCACAAAAGTAGCAAACAACTCAC